CCGAGGCCCGGCCTCCCCCAGCCTCCTCTTTTATGCAGAAGGAGCGGGTGCTGCCGGCGTGGCCATCCCGCTCCTGACACACGCTGTGATTGCTGCCAAAAGACTCACTCACCTTTCCCTGAGGATTCACTGCAGCCCGGTTCCTCCAAGCCGAGGGAGAGACTCCCAGCGTGCCTGAGTGTGCGTGAGTGTGTGCATGCGTGCGTGGGTGTGTGCTGGCCGGCAGGACTGTGTGAGGCAATGGGCAGAATAAAGGCAATAAGAATTTTACTGGAGTTTCCTTTGCTCGATCGCGCTCTCTCTGCAGCAGGCCCGGCTGCTTGCAGCTTCACTGCCCACCAGGATCATCCTCTTCCTCCTGGCCAGCCCCAGGCTAGCTCTGTGCCCCTCTCTGCTCCCCACTTCTCTTGCCATCATGGATTCAGGTGGTCCCGTAGGGTCCCCCTCGGCACTGGTGCTGCCGCAGGGTTGGGCCAGGCAGCGCTGCTGCCCCCCCCCATGGTGCCTGGGGACCCAGCGTGCTCCCCTGTGGGGGGCGTAGGGTGGAGGTAACGAGTCCCAGGGCAGAGCCAGCTGTGAAACTCCCATCTAATACACTCAGAGATGCTCATGCTCATCGTTTGTTTTTTTCTCCTCCATCCCCTCCTCGAGTCAAGCTGGAACTGTGGGAACCAAACCTGGTGTGTGAAAACCGAGCAGGGAGCAGCCGGGCTCACTGCTTGTCCCACCACCAGCAGATCCCTGCAGCCCCAGGGCTTCGCAGACCCCCGGTCCTCCTCTGCTCTCCCCAGGCAGAGCCCAGCACCGGGCAGGAGCGCTGCAGCAGCCACCGGCATCCCTCCGCCACCGGCATCCCTCCATCACCGGCCTTGCTCTTCCTCGCCGCAAAATGGCAGCTGCTGAGCCAGGTGGGAGCACAACAGCGCAGGCGGCAAGGTAACCCCCCCGGGGGCTGCTGTCCCTGGGAGAGCGGGGCCAGGGGGGCCCCACGCCTGTAGCCTGGGGGGATTTGCTCCCTGGTAGCTGAGTGGGATCCCCAGTTGCTTGTGCTTGGGGTTTTCAGGTCCTAAGGCCCCCTTGGCTGTGGTACACCTTGCTGGCTCCGACAGGGATGCCTTGCTGGTGGTGGAGAGGAGCAAGCAGGTGCTCCCCAAAATGAGGAGGTGCACTCCTGTGCTCCCCCAGTGCTCGGCCCCACTCCCCTCCTCCTGGGCTGGCTGAGCAGGTGCTATTTTTCCCTTTTCCTTGAAACTCAGCTGCCCTTGGGTTTCTCATTAACCCAGTCCTCCTCCCCAGGGAACAGTAAACAAGGCTGGCAGGGCGGCTGGCAGCAGGTCCTGCACCGAGGAACGGGCTCCCCGCATCCCACCATCCCTTCTCCGCAGGAGGTACCGGGGATGTTGGCTGCTGGGGACTCCACAGCCCCGTTTCACTGGGATTTCCCAGCCCTGTCCCCCCTGGCTGCTCCCCGGCCTCCACCACGGTGGGACCCCAAACAGCAGCGCTGAGCAGACCTCCTCCCTCTCCTGGGTCAGGCAAAGCAGACCGGAGCGGGGATGCTTGTAGGAGAGCAGGTGGCCAAATAGATGTCAGAGCCCATTTTGGGCTTGCGAACCCTCTCAGCCTCCCCGGCTGGAAGCGCTGTGGGGTTCAGGGGCTGCCCCTGCTGCCCTTGCTCCCCCAGCCCCGGTGCTGCGAGGGTCCTGCTGCTGCAAGGTTTGGGGTCCCTCGGCCCTGGTGCATCCCAGGCATCCCCACCACAATCCTCCGTCCTGGCCTGGCTTTGCTTTGGGGGGAGTTCCCCTCATTTTAAACAGCAAACCTGCAACAAGCCCCTTCTCCCAGCCGCCTTGGTGCCCACCCTGCTCCCATCCCTGCAGCCAGCCCCGGGTGTCCCCCTGGTCTCAGCCCCGCACACTGCCCGGTTTGCACCCAGGGCTTCACCCAGCAGTTCTTCACATGCTGTACCTGCCACCTCCCTTTTTATATGGATATGTATAGGGGGAAAGCTGCGTTCGATGGTGAAAAAGCAAATGCAACAGTGAAAAAAAGCAGCAAGGGAAATTAATGCGAGCGTGCGTTTGTAAAAATATTTTTTAACGGAAAGACTTTTTTTCAATTAAATTATTTAAGGAATTTTATGGAGGTTTGCAGTGCCTGTTTGGTTCTTGGGGGGGTCTGGGTGGGGGGGGGG